AATAACAGCAAAGTCCGTATGCGATAATAAAGAAAAAGGTTAGTATAAAAGCATTAATAATCATCATTCCTTTATCCTGTAATCTGCTAAAAGCAAGGTCTTCATCACAAACAGTTTCAATAACATTTTTTAAAGTAAATTTATTTGTCTTAGCTTCTTCAATATTAACAAATTGTTGTTTGTTAAGTTTGATTAAATAAATACTAATATTTCCTTTCTTTAAACAAATTGAACTATCTGTTTCTTCTTTATTTATTTCACCTTCTTGAGGAAGTAATTTGATAGCATTTTTTTCATTAACTTCTTTTAAATCAAAAACTAAGATGTGTTTACCTTTAGATGGAAGATGAATTGAATGTACAAGAGATAAAGGAAGGTACATTAACACTGAATTACCATCGTATTTATGATTAGTTAAGAAATGATACAAAATAAGAGCACCATATCCTTCTCCAATGCAAATATGAGGGTGATATTCTAATAAAGCATCTAACTGATAATAAAAACTTCCTAAAGGATTTAATGGTGCCATATGGACTATTGTAGTATCAAAAAAATAATTAAGAAATATACTGGTTAATCCATGTGGTCCTTCATTGGCATTATGAAAATATTGAAGTCTGAAAGGATTAGAATACATAGTACTAGGTTTGTTTTGTAAGAAACGTTCTTTCTTAATGTATTGTAATTCTTTTTCAACGATAGCCATAAAAAAGATTTTAAAAATTTTGAGTTTTCTTTTAGGTTTTTTTTCTTTTGAATTACTTTTTTTCTGCTTAAATCTACTTCTTTAATTATCGATTTTTTACGTTTTATATAACATTTATATTATTTTTTTATGTTTATAGTAAAAATCATCAATTAACTTAACATTGGAGATGAAATTTGTAATAATTGAAAGGCTGCCACAAAAGCCGCTGTTTGAGTTCGTTCATTTCCACCAATAGATAATGCTTGCCTTATGTGTTAGTAATTAACCACTATAAAATAAAAGAATAATAAACAAACTCAATAAGAGAAAGTTGGTAAAGACATTGAATTCTGGCAGTTTTATCTAAGACAGAGACTAATTTCCCTTCAATTAATTTAGGTACTACACGAATGATAATATCATTTAAAGAAAGACCAGCTTTAATTAAATTATCTACAACAGTAAAAGATTCAAAATAAGGAGAACTTAATAACTCTGAAATAATATCATCGATTTGTGCTGGAGTAGGTAATCCAACCATCGTGTATAAAGTTGAATTAGTAATTTGTTTACAAGTCATTGACAATGCTTGTAAAGTATTAATAATACTTCTAGCATCTCCTTTTGATATTTCTATGATAGACTTTTTTGCATCATCATCAATTTCCATTCCTTCCTTCGTTGTAATATTTTCAACAATTTTCGTTAAAGCATTTGGGGATAATGGACCAAATCTCATTTTTGCACAACGTGATTGAATAGCTGGAGTTATTAAATGAACTTCATTACAAATAAAAATAAATCTACAATTTGCAGAAAATTGCTCTAATGTTCTTCGAAGTGCATTTTGAGCATCTTTAGTTAATTTATCGCTTTCATCTAATATAATAAATTTAGTACAGTTAGTATATAAGGTACGTGTTGATGCAAATGATTTGATTTGATCTCTAACAACATCAATCCCTCTTTCGTCTGATGCATTCAACTCTAGTACTAATGCAGAGAATTTAGTTCCACATAATTGTTTTACAATAGCCAAAGCTGTTGTAGTTTTACCTGTGCCAGGTGGACCATAAAAAAGCATATGAGGTATTTGGTTGGCATTAATAAATTGTTTTAAAGATTCAAGAATATACTCATGACCAAATATACCATCTGTAGTTGAAGGACGATACTTTTCCACCCAGGGGAGTGACATTGTTTCATATAAGTTTTTTATTTTATTTATTTTTATTTTTGTTATTTACAGTGTATAACACCTCCATATATGAAGAAAATCCAATTGGGATATATCCATTGATTAACCTTTTTTTGTTATTTACAAAACATAAAAAAAAAAAAAGGATAATAGAAAAAGAAGGGAATTATTTGTTAAGAGAGAAGAGAATTGGGTTTATAATAAACTTATAGAAAAGAAGAATTATTTTTAGTGAACTGTAATGAAAGGGATGAATTCAAATAAAAACCTAAAAACCATAAAAAAAGAACTTCTTAATACAAAGTGCATGGGAGTATTTGTCACTGAAGGGAAAAGAATTACGGTAACAAATGATTGTATTGGGTGTAGTGCATGCATGGATAATTGTCCAGCTGGAGTTTTAGAAATAGTTAATGGAATATGTACAGCACCAAGAATTGATGAATGTTTACAATGTCATTTATGCGAAGATAATTGTCCAATAAATGCAATTAAAGTTGAATAATAATAATTAAATTGTTGATGTTCTGAAATTGTCAAAAAAGTGTTTTAATTTTAAAAATTAATACTTCAATTTTAAATATTAAATAAATAAAAATACATATTTGATACAAAAGAGATAAACTATCAAATAAAAAAATTCTTATTTAAAATAAAATATATTTCATTCATTTAATTAAAAATATGTTGTTTACTTTAATTGTAAGAATTCGTTTTGAAATTTAATTGGTGCATAATCTTCTGGAGTTCTAATTTCTGTAATAATGTTAATGTCTTTTTCTATTACAATTCTTTTTAATTTTACTTTATCTGAAATAACTTTTAATGCTTCTATTCTTTTTTCTTTTGTTACTTCTTCTATTTTTCCTACTTTACCATCTCTCATCCATACAATTCTATCTGATAAATTTTTTAATGAAACATCATGTGTAACCATTAACATTGTCATTCCTTCTTTATGTAATTGAAGTAATAATTCCATAACTATTCCTGTATTATACGAATCAAGATCTCCTGTCGGTTCATCAAGTAATAATAATTCTGGTTCATTTGCTAATGCTCTAGCTATTGTAACTCTTTGTTGTTCACCTCCAGACATTTGAGATGGTTTATGATTGATTCGTTTTTCCATTCCAACTTTTTTTAATAATTTGATAGCTCTTTCCTTTCTTTCTTTTGCTGATAATTTTCCTAATAAAATCATTGGTAATTCAACATTTTCTATTGCAGTCATTGATGCTATTAAATTAAATGTTTGAAAAACAAATCCAATCTTTTGTAATCTTAAAAAGCTTAATAGTCTGTCTTTAGTTTCTTCCGTTATCCTTTTATCACATAATAAAATATCTCCTTTTGATGGTTTGTCAATTGTTCCTATTAAATTTAACATTGTTGTCTTTCCTCCTCCACTTGTTCCATAAATACATACAAATTCTCCTTTTTTTACTGATAAACTTACTCCTCTAATTTTATTAATATATAATATTTATCTTAATTGTTATTTATCTTTTTTGTATTAAATTATTATTTTCAAACCGTAACGCTGCAACTCCTTCTATTCCTAAAAGATATGTCTTATGAACATTTCTAATTGAAATAATATAATTTTGATCATCTATTAATACATCTTTTTCCTTAATATCGTTAGTTTTTATTGTATTTTATTGAAGTTTTATTACTTTTAATCCAAACTGTTAGTCTAATATTGCCAAAATAATCATCAGTCTTTATGTCATTCATCCTTCTTTCTTTCTTATTCTTTAATGTTTCAAAGTTCTTTTTTTTTACTATTAAATTGTTATTAAGCTTTATAAAAAATCATTTTGCTTCAAATAACATTTATTTTTTTTTTGTGAAGTTATTTAATGTCTTCTTTCTTCCATTCTCTTTTGTTAAAATTGTTTAAATAACTTTCAATTGCCTTCAGTACTATAACAAATATCATACATATCTTATTGATTTTAAACTAAATGGAAATCCTTAACTTTTTATTATTAATAATTTTGAAAAAATAGTATTTTATTATTAACACTTAATGGTATAATTCATCACAACAAATTACTACTCCTAATTATGTTAATATATACTTTTTTATTATTTTCATTTTTATGGTATTAGAAAATTATCTTATTGTTCATGAGTTGAAGAGAAAATAATTTGAACATTTATTTTCAGGTTTTTTAAGTTAAATTTTTTTATATTATCTAATAAATACCGATGAATTTAAAGTATTATTCCTTAACTACAAATTTCTTTATTAAATAGATAGTTATTATATTTCATAAAAGCATATTTTTAATAAGAATTATGGTTTTTTAAAAGCAAATGTGTTTATAATAAAACAAGAATAAAAGAAAAAAAGAAATCAAAAAATAATCAAATTTTATATTTATAATATTTATAAATTTTAAAATATAAAATTATACTATAATTAAGTTAATTATTGAAAGTAAAAAGATATTTCATAAACTTCGATAAGTCAAAAAATGATTTAAACAGGATATATTTTTTATTAAAAAGAGTTAATTATATTTTTAAATTATTAAATTTTTTATTTTATTTATAAAAAAGATAAAATAAAATATAATGATGAAAAAAGTTATCAATAATTAAAACTAGAAGACTCTTTTATACTTGATGTTTGCATTAATCCTTTTCTTTCTTTTTTTAATACTTTCAATGGAGAAGAATGTTGAGGAGAAGATGATAAACTACTATTTTCACGAGTTCTACTATTACTTCTTGAACCAAAGAAACCTTTTTTTGGAGTTGTTATTTCACTCGATACTCTAGATGTAGGTAATAAAGTAAAAGGTTTTAAGAAATTAATTTCTTCATTAATTTGAAAAGAAAGAGGTTCAATAGATTTATAATAATCTTCCATTGTAACATTTTTTATTGGAGTTTTAATTTCTCCACTAATATATAGCCCATAATCAAATCTACGTTTTACCCATTCAAACAATTGTTCAAGAGGTAAAGAATGAATTTGAGGAAGATCAGTAAAATATTGATTTATTATAGTATTATTAAAGAATTGGGATATTTTAGGTGTTATTGTAATTAATTTTTCAATAAAATATAAATACTTTTTATAAATTTCATTGTCAGGAATAAGAAAGAAACTTATAAAGAATGTGTATGATATTTCTAAACAACGAACATATGATATTGTAATTGACTTCATTAATAATACAAGAAGATCTATAATACACTGAGATTCATAATAATCAGTTACATCAAAATTAAATGATGTTGCTGTATTTAAAAATATTAATAAATTATCAGCATAATGAACTGCCCAAAGTTTAGAAAATGAACATACAAGTTCTTTGGGTCCAAGTTCAACTGTCATAATAGATTGATGATTTTGTTGTTGTATAAGTACTTCTAAATCAAGAAAAATAGCAACAAGTTGATTAACACCACTACACTGGTCTTGTTCTATTTGGGTATGTTTTAACTCAAATGGATGTTCATAATTTAAAAATATTTCAAAACATTTAAGTTTTACTGGTGTTCCAATACATCTAAAAATAAAATAAAGAAAATGAGAATATTGTTTTCTTGTGAATTTCTGCTGAAACCTTTTAATTAATGCTTCTTGTGCATCTTTATAGTCTATTAAAAATTGCTTATTTAACTGGTCATATAAATATCTAATATGTTTTTCTTTAACTTGTTTATTATTATTTCTTGTAATTTTTTTAACTTCTATTTCAACTTCATTCATTGATAGATAATGAATATGTTCTCTTAAAGACATCTTTTATTTATAATTTTTATTTTATTAGTTCTTGACATCAACGAAAATTAAATTTGATTTTTTCTCCAAATATTGGATGAAAAGTAAATTTAAATATGACAATTTTTATAATTAGAAGGAAAAAAAATATTTTTTACTTTTCATATTAACGTTATTTTAGGAAACTGTCCTTTTTTAAATATACATTCTATTATCTTTTTATTATTTTATTGTTTTTCTCTTTTCTCAAGCTAGTATTAATTTAAATAATCAATATTTATCTAATAAAAAAATATGGGTATATCCTAATAAATTATAAAGTTTTTTTATGAATTTTTTAAAAAAGTTATAAGAAAATCATCAAATTACTAATTAGAACTCAGTGATCAAAAAAGATATTGAGAATAAATTTCATAAAAAAATAATTAATTTCTATTGAAACAAAATTTTATGCTCATTACTTATTTTCTTGGTTTCAGAACAACACTAATGAAGAAGAGATATACTATATCTTCATATTTCTTTTTACAAAACAAACAAAGTCTCTTTTGGTAGTTGATATATAAGGAGTACAAAAATAAACATCTAAATTTCCCACAAGAAGAAAAAGTAGCATATACCAAGTAAAAGTAGTTTTAACGATTTGTTATTGGTTCATAAAAATTTTAAGTGTTAAAGTTAACAAAACAATAAAATAAATTATGTCATTCAAGAAAAGTAAAAAATAAAAGAATGAATGAGAGAGGACACGTCCTGTAGTAATGACAAAATAACCATTGTCATAATAGTTATAATAACGATAGTATGAATTATTTTACTCATCATTTCATTCATTTTCATTGTCATAAGTATTTCAACGATAGTCCTAATAGAAACAATCTGTATTATCATAATACAAATAGATATCATAATAAAACACAAAGAAGATATAAAAGAAATGACAGAATCAATAAAAGAGATCCTAAATTGATTATTTCAAAGAATGAAGAGAGTATTTGGTAAGAATATTATTTCATAAATTAATGAATGTAATACAATTAAATGAAAGAAAACAAGATATAAATATATCTGAATGGTTAACAAATAAATTAAATGAAAGAAATATATAAATGAATGGAAAATGGTGAATATATAATACATGCAAATAGCTTATTTAATAGTAAGAAATTTTCAATAGCCACGTGGATATAATTAAAGATAAAAAGAAATGTCATCCAAGTAGTAATTATGTAAGAAGGAGTCATTATGAATTAGAAATATTAAACATAAAATACTCAATATCAGCACATTAAAATATTGCAGGCACTACCATAACACTAGGTCTTTTAAAATTGTTCTGGCAAAAAAATTAATGAAAATTTTGACTGATTAAAAAAATAGTTAAATTTTCCTCGTTTTCTCTATATTTAGAAAATTCCTGGATGTCATCAATTTATAGTCAATTAGAATATGAATCTCTTTTTGTGCTGATGTTTCTTTTTTATTTAAAAAATGATCTCAGATATTATTTTCATGTATTTATTGGTAAATTTTTTGTTTAATTTTATTTAATATAATGTTATAATGATTTGATGATTATTTGTCATTATGCTTATTTCATTTCTATACATTTTCTTGTTATTAGTCATTTAATTGTTATATTCATTATATATGAAATGATTGTATTTATTAATATTATTTTATCTTTACTAATTTATTCTTATTTTTATCATTACATGAATTGAGATTATTTGTAATAAGAAATCTACTGTTATAATGAATAAATCTATTTAATTATTTATTATTGATGTTATTTATCAATTTTATTTTTACATCATTTAATTATCATATTTTGAAAATGACAATCTTTATTTATTTTAATAAGAGGAACTATCATGTATCTTTCTATATTTCATTTTGTTATTCTTATTATTATATTATTCTTTTCTTTTGTAATAATTGTAGAACTTATCATTATTCATTTATTAGAATGACGAACTATTCACTTATTTCTATTCGAATTTGAAGTAATTTATCATTATTTTATTCATTAACATACTTATGTTATTATTCTATATTGAAATAATAATAAATAAAATGATATATCATTATCCATAGTTTATTAATTATCTTTCATGAATAATATATATTTTTAATATTTAAAATACTAATAATATCAAACCATTATATCATCATTTTTTACTTATTTGTGTTTATTCAATTAAATTATTACAAATAATAGTTAATATCAATAATAAATAAATAATTTTAAATCATTTATATGATTATTTTCGTTTTCATTTGTAATAGTAATCAAATAATACAAATACTCTCTTATTACATAATTTACATATTAAAGTAATTTATTAACGTTTTGAATGGAATAGTCAATTCTTTTTGAAATAATATTCAATACTTTTTTTCATAAACAAATCTAGATAATATGAATGATAAACTTATTATATAATCAAATGATAATAACCAAGTAACTTATTAATAATACTATGATAAAAAAAATAAAGTGATTTATTAAATCTAATAAATAATATAGAATATGATGTTTTATTCTGTATTTCAATAATTAAATAAAAAGATAAAATAAAATATCAAAAATAATATTAAAATTAATAATCATACAATAAAAATAAAGAACAATGTTTTCTAATTAAATATAAATAGATGGTATCAATTAAAATAATAGCTATGGAGATATTCATTGATAACCTAACTATTTTTAATCATCCAAATTTTATATTAATTTTTTGCAAGAACTATTTTACAAGACCTGTTTAGTGTAATAAATAAATTTTTATTATTATTGTATAGTATTTGTATATTTTATTATTTACTAGCAACTCTTTCATTTTTTTTTTTTGAATTTACTATTCTTTTTTTCTCTTCAGTTTCTATAAAATTATTGAAATTCATTATTTGATTTCTTACTTCATTAATTTATTGATGTGATAATTTTCTATCACTTCTTCTAAATACTTAATTTTCTTTAATTTATTTTTTAAGTATTTATAGTGACTCTTATTTTATTAATAAATCATGTGATTTCAATTTTATTATGATACTTTCTATTATTTCTTTTAGTAAATTATTAGATCTTCTTTTTGTATTCCATATATTTGAAACAATTTTTATATACAAATCTCTTACTGATATTTAATTACTTCAAAAATACTAATCATTAAATATAATCATTATTAATTTGTTATTTTTCTATTAGATCCATTTAAAATATGAATTTCTAATTATTCATTCTATTTTATTTAATAGTTGAATTGACAATATAATATTTTCAATAAATTATCTTATTTTTTATATTATTTAGGTATTTATACACTTGATTAATATTTTATTATTCGTTTCTAACTTCTTAATTTCATTCTTATTTTTTAATTCTTTCATTTATAATTTCCAATGAAATGAAATTGTACAGAATAAAGTACCTAAAATATATGATGACAGTGATTAAAGAAAGAATGAAATTTAATAAGAATGAAATTGTCAAAATCAACATAAATAAAATCTTGTTTGTTTATAATAAAAAGAATAAAATAAAGAAGAAGTATAAAATGAAATATAATAAAATAATGATAACAACATAAATTATTTGAAATATTATATGAAACACAAGTGATGTTAAATAAAGATAAATAGAAAATATATCAAATAACTAAATGGAATTGGATTGAATGAATAGAAATTATGTTAGTGTGATTATCACAATGAATGATTTAAATTTAATGAAAATAAGTAATTAGAAACAGGAAATAATACAATGTGTTTGTATTATTGGAAGAGAATGTCATCATAAATATATGTGATAAAACAAATAAATTAGTTTATTATTTTAAATGATTATTGTTACATGTCACAATATTGATGAAAACTATTTGAAGAACAGAAATATGTATAAAGAAATAAAAAATATGCTAATGAAAAAAGAGAAATTAAGATATGTCAAAATATTTACAGTAAATAATTTCAATAAATGGTGTAGTAAATACAGAAAACATTAAATTGATGATTATTTAAATAGTAAATGCCAGTGAATTTGTTCTTTTTATTTTTAGAATTAACGAAATTTATTTCAAAAGATTATTTGATTATTTCTAAACAAAATATTTCTTCTTTTTGTAATCAATGGAATCCATTAACAAAATTAGTTGTCTATATTAGTATTATCATACGTAATAAAAATTAAAATATTTAATAGGTATTTGAGAAATAAATTTTAGTTCTCCTAAAAATTAGAATGGAAACTGCTTAAAAAAAATGTGTTGTGTGAATGTCCTTATCATAAAAGTTTTTAATTAGAGTATGTTTCCAAATGGAAAAATAAATGAGTATATATTTTGTTATCAAATCTAAATATTGCTCTGTTGAATCTGTATAATATTCTTTTTTTGATTCTAATAGCCACAAATAAATTAAATATTTATTTTGATTACAAAGAATGTTTTTACTTATATCTAATTTACAAGAGGTTAAAATAAACAACTATGAGAAACTAATAAAAAATTTAAGACTAATTTAACACAAAAAAAAATTTAGTCAAGGTAGATATGATAATTTATATTATATTCTACTTAGAGTGGTGATAAATAACTTTATTCCCTCAATAAAGAAAACCCTCATTTATTAAACAAATTAATTTTGCAGTTAGTTAAAAATAGTTAATAAATGTTATTGTTATTTTGTTATTTTTATTTAATAGAAATAACAAAAAAACATAAAAAACCCTTTTGAGTCAAAAGTTACAAAAAACGAAGATCAGTTATTCTCCATGGCAGCTGAGTTCTTCAACAAGTTAAAGTTATCATCAAAAGAACCACTTGAAAAAGCAGACAAAGGGGGAAGAGTTACTTGCCCTTTATGTCATAAGAAAATGAAGTATTATTGTTATTATTGTAGACGAGGACTTATTCCAGAATTACCACAAGTCAATCTCCCAATCAAATTAGATATTATTCATCACCCAACAGAAAAAGTTGCTAAATCAACTGCACTAACTGCTTGTATTGTGGCAAAAGATGATACTAGATGGATTGAATTTCCTAATGAAATACCACAATATGACCCAAATGAAACAATACTATTATTCCCATCTCCAGATGCAAAACGATTAAGTGATTTTGATGACCTTAAGAAGTATAAAAGAATGGTTTGTATAGAGACTGTATGGTATAAAGCCAATGCTGTATTAAATCATCCAAACATTAAAAATTTACCAAAAGCAATTATTTGTGCTGAAGAAACATTGTTTTGGAGATATCAAAATATAAGTAATACTAACTTATCAACTATAGAAGCTATTTATTATTTCTATAGAGATTACTATACTTGTATGAATGGTAAATATAATGGGGAGTGTGATGATCTTTTATATTTCTTCACCCATATTTATCATCGTGTCCAAGATTTTTATAACGAACATCCAGATAAAACATTTATTCACAAAGATGGATATATTCAATACAAAATACCAGAACTTGAAAAACAAAAAGAAGAAGAATATAAAAAGAGAGAAGAAATGATTGAATCTAAAAAAAAATCTAAAACACAAAAAAAATAATGAAATATTTTTGTTATTTAAATAATTTTTTATTACTTTTATAATTTTTTTTAGGGGAACAAAAAGAATGAAGAAAGATTAAATATTGTCACGTATTAATAATCTCATCACAAAGGAACAAATTGGTACTAAAAAATGTGGAAAGAAAAAAGACGATCATCACCATGTCGATCCACGTCATTCATTCGTTGAAAGATAATATTTAAAGATAGAACTTAGACAAATAAAAACAGAACTCTTACGTTATGGCTGGATGGAAACCATCTCCTTATGTTAAATATGGATATACTGAAAAGAAATATAAATGGACCCAAACACCGGAAGATGTAACATTAACAATAGAATTGCCTGATGAAAATTTAAAAACAAAAACTGATATTCAAATAATAATGAAAACAAATAAATTTGAAATGATTATTAAAGGAGAAGTTTATATTGGAGGAGAATTAGAACATGCTATTAATGTAGACGATTCTACATGGACTAGAGATGGAAAGATAATTGAAGTTATTCTTTCTAAAGGTATGGACACTAAAGGTGATGGAGAAGGATGTTGGTGGGGATGTGTTATTAAAGGAGATCATGTTATTGATGTTAAAAGAATGGAATCAACGAAATATCTTGATGACTCTCTTCTTAAAAAATTAGCTGAAAAAGACCAAGAAGAAACTGCAGGTAAAGAAGAGGAAGAAGAAGAGGATCAATAATTCAATTGTTATTTTTCTGTTATACAAAACATTTTAAAAATTTAAAAGAAGAAAAAAGAAGAAAGTGAAAAATTTTAAGAGAAAATAACTGAAATCAGATAAGATGAGTAGTAGTGGGTCTATTGCATTACTGAGACTTACAGCTGATCTTAAGACAATGCTTACAGATCCACCAGTTGTTTGTTTAGATAAAGAGAAATTTGAGTTAAGGAATAACTAAAATTAATAATGTTATAGGGTATTTCAAGTGGACCAATTGATGAAAGTAATTTATATTTTTGGCAAGCAACTATTGCAGGACCGGAGAATTCACCATTTGAAGGAGGGTTATTTGAATTAAGACTAACATTTTCAGATGAATATCCAATTAAACCACCACATGTAAAGTTTATATCTGAGATGTTTCATCCAAATGGTTTGGTAGTTTTAATATAAAATAATAAACAATCAAATGATAAGAATGAATTACTTATAACATTTAGTATTCAAAGATGGAAGAATTTGTTTAGACATTTTACAAGATAAATGGTCAAGCGTTTATTCAGTGTCTACTATTTTATTAGCTATTCAAGTTTTGTTGAATTATTTATTTAATCAAATATATAATTATTTTATTAATAAATTAGAGTTTATTAACAGATCCAAATCCAAACAGTCCTGCTAATCCTCAAGCATCTGCACTTTATACAAGTAATAGAAAAGAATATAACAAACTTGTTCGTGCATGTGCAGAACGTTCATTAGAATGCAATTAAATTTAATAATTCTTTTTTCAACAAGAAATAATTTTATTTAAAAAAGAACAAAAATAAAATAAAAAGAGAAGAAGAAAGAAATAACTTTACTTATTAATTTTTATTATTTGGTTAATTCATATTTTGGATTAAATAAATCATACCCACGTCTCTTAAATGTTCTACTTCTCATAATTAAAACAATTGCTAATCCAATGATAATTAAAATAATTAATACTAGTGTTAGTACAACCATAATAATAATTGTTAGCCATTGACCATTTTCTTCAGGTTGACTAGAACTATTTTCTTGTTCTTGAATTAATGATTGAAGAATTCTAAGAGCTTTTTCTGTTTGTTGCATTTTAATTTTAATTAGTTTTAAGTTTTTTAATATTTCCCTCCCTTCCTTTAAAATTGTTTTCTAACCAAACAAAAAAAAAAAATCAATTCACTTTAACTAATTTATTCATCTTATTGTAGAATCTAAATGGTTCTGGAAGTGATTGTAATATTGACAACCATTGTTGTGTAACTACAATTAAATCACCTTTTAAATTAAATCCACCTCCAACAATTATTCCATATTTTTTACTAATTCTTGAAGGAAATTGAGAAATGGTTTCTAATGTTCTTGGTAAATTATTTAATTTAGACCATGTAAATTGGTCTTTATGAATTTTAGAATGGATATTTTCATAAGTAATTGTTTCACGAGATAATACAACAAAATTATCTTCACACAATGGATCAAAATATATTCTTTCACTACCAATTTCATTTTGAGAAGTAATTTTTTTAATAATAGTTGTACGTGGGTCAACAGTATAATTGTCATAGTCATAACAAATAAATTCTCCTTTTATTCCTGTGACATATATCATTTTATCTTTCTTTGTTACTTTTTTAGGAATAAACTCACCAATTAATTTTATTAATTTACTTTCCATTGTATTTAAATCAATTAATACTAATTGACATTGTCTATTTTTTAATTCAGTTAATCCTATTATATTCATTTCTTCATTATCAACTGAGTACATTGGTGAAAATGTTCCTCTCTTTTCTTCTTTAATTGTTAATTCTTTTCCATCGAAATTAATTTCTGAAGTAATGATAGTACCATCAGTCATAATTGTAATAAGGTAATTATTATTAACATATACTTTTTTAACAACTCCAGTAACATTAATATCTTCTTTAATAATACTCCATGGTATAGTTTTCTTATTTATTCCAAATATTCTTATTAAATCTTTTGTTCCTACAACAAGTATTGAACATTGTGAATTTAAATCAAATGTAGTAATTTGATGTTTTTTAGATAATTTCATAGTAAAATAACATGAATACTCTCTATCAATTTCATATTTTCCTTTTTCACACTCATTTGATGTTATTGCTAATTGATAAAAGTTAAAGTTATTATCAACTTCGTGAACAACTACCATATCAGCAGTACTACATACTTTAGCTTTTGGTGAATCAACTCCAATAGGAAAGATTCTATATATTAATTGGTTCATATCATTTATTGGTCTAAATAAAATAATGGTATCTACTCCTCCACTTACTAATATTCCTTCATTTGATATGTCAAGTGATTTTACTGTATGTGAGTGTTGTCTTACTCTACCACAACACGTCCACTTTCCATTAACTTCTTTTAATAATACAATTTTATGATCTACACCTGATCCAAATAATACTGCTTCTCCATTTAATGTAGTACTTTTTAAACATAACACATCTGCTTGATGTTCTCTAAATTCTGCAATAATAGTCATAGTAACAATATCCCATATTTGTATCTTTCCATAAACAAGTCCAACAGCAACAGTACGTTGGTCCATAATTTCAATTGCCATGATTGCTGTACTTTTTGTTTTTCTTTCATTTTCTGGAATTTTTTCTTCTTCAAGTCTTCTAATTTCATCAAGTGGTTGTGCTATTTCATCTCTTGATTTATTGTATTTAACTTCTCTCAACCTATCAGTGGCATAAACAGCAAATATTAATTCAAATTTTTTTTGTTTTTTAATCCAACCAAAGATAACTCCTTCAGATGTTCCAGCAAAAACAAGTTCACCTTTAATATGAATACACATCGTTTTTCCTTTTGAATGATTAAGTCTTCCCATAAGCCATAGAGAATCTGGATCATCTTGTGATGGTGAATAAAATTCAATAAATTCTTTTTCAGTACCAATAAATAATGATTCTGAATATGCTAAACATGTTACGTTTGATGATACATTAATACTTGTTTTAATCATCCCAGTTTCTGGGTTTATTCCAAATACTTGTTTTGTTGTTCCCCCAACAAATAATGTTGTATCACTCCAACAGGCTGCACAACATGAATGTTTTGAAGGAAATATAGGAAGTTGATGTAATAATGATTTGGTTTTAGATAAATAAATTTCAACTATTCCATCTTCTCGTGTACATGCTAAATATTTATTGTCAGGTGAATAACAAAGTCGCTCGATTCCTGATGGTACAATCCTTCCAAATTGAGTTATATGACACTTCATTCCTTTAAGACCTCTTTAGTTTTTTTTTAAAGTACATTTTTAGGGTTTTTTGAATTTATGTTTTTTCTTATTTCTTTTCTATTTTTATCTTACTTTGGTTCTATCCATTCTTTTGTTTATTGTTCTTATAAACTTTTTAAAACTATTATTCTAGGATTAAACATTCACAATATCTACATTACTAATAAATTAAATATGTATTAGATATAATACAATATAAACAGAACTGTATTGAGAAAGAATTATTAACTCAAATAAAAAGTTAAAAATAAATTAGAAGCTTGTTTCTTAGTTTTGAAATCTAAATTAAATAATTTCATTTATTAGAAGATAAAAATGATTCACCCATGGGGATATCTTAAGTCAGAGACATTTGGTTATGAAGATATTCTGTTATTTGATTCAATTGTTTGTTACATTTATTCTATTTATTAAATAAATAATAATTGTTAGACTTTTCTTGGAAGAAATTATCAAAAATGTTTCTCAAATAATTCATATATTAGTGGAACCCATTTTCAAATTCAAAGAAAAATAATTGATGGATTCTCAATAATTACTGCAAGAGATGTTAGTTCAAATGGTTCATATGTTAATGGAGAATTATTTGATGAGATTCAACTCCATTGTTATGATGAAATAAGTTTATTCCACCCTCAAAAAGAAAACTCTATTCATTATTGTTTCATTGAAAATAAAGTTGAAGAAGATGATAAACAAAATGGAGGACCTCAATATGATTATGAAATTGGAAATTATTTAGGAAGTGGTGGATTTTCAATAGTTAGAGATGCATTTTCAAGGGAATCACACAAACTTTATGCAATAAAAATTATTAAAAATAGTTCTGTTAAAAGGACAACAATGTTTCAAAATGAAATTAATATCATGCAATTATTAGAACATCCAAATATTATCAAACTTGAAAAAGTTTATATTACTAATGAACATATATTTCTTATTATGGAAAGATTAAATGGAGGAGATCTTTATGAAAGGATTATTAATAATACATTTTCTCAAGAACATAGTAAAGTTGTTATTTATCAAATTCTTTCAGCTTTAAAATATATTAAAGCACATAATATTATTCATAGAGACATTAAACCTGAAAATATTTTATTTGTTAATAAATTAGATTATTTTATTAAAATAACAGATTTTGGATTAAGTAGAAGAATAGACACTACTTCCCATTTAGCATCTACTGTTTGTGGAAGTGATTTATTTATTGCACCAGAAATATTAAAAAAGTTATACAATGGAACACCTTATGATGGAAGTAAAGTTGATGTATGGAGTTCCGGTGTTTTATTATTTGTTATGGTATGTGGTTATCCACCATTTTCAAGAATTAATAATCAATATACAGAAAGTATTTTAAAAGGAGAAATAATATTTAAAGAAGACTGGAATAACAGAGATCCAATATTAATAGATTTAATAAAAAGGATGTTAGTAGTTGATGTAAATCAGAGAATTAATATTGAAAATTGTTTACTTCATCCATTTTTTAAATAATATAATTTTTATTTCAATTTATTTTTTCTTTTTATTTTTCTTTTATTTAATGAACTAAATTTCAATTTAAAACTGTTGTCTTATATGTCAATTGATCGTTCATACTCTTCTAAAACAACTACCCACACATTATTAAATGCACCTTCTAAATCAATTCCATCAATACCTCCTCGTTATAAAAAAGCTAATTCTATTCCTGAAACAACTTCAGTTCCAATAAAACTTTCATTTACAATGGGTTTTGCTGAAACTCATCACCACAGTCGTCTGTTAATACCAACTACACCTTATATAGACAACCAATTACTTTCTTCGGACTCTTCTAAAAATTTGTTAAGTCCTCAACAAACAAAACGTATTTTGCAAATTCATCCACCAACAACAATTAGAAATCAACCTACTTCAAATTCTGAATCAATGAGTGCTTCATTTTCATCAAGACAATGTAATTCCAGTCCTGCTTTTTCTATATTGTAATTTGACTTCTTTTCCATAAATTTTACCTAAGATTTTATTTTCTGATTTTTACATAAATTTTTCTTTTCTTTCTTTTAAAAAAGAAAAAAAACTAAAAGAAAAGTCTATAATAATATTTATAATAAAATAATTTATTAATTTTAATTAATTAAAAATACAATAATGAAAAAAGAAAAACCCTATGATAGAACTAAGATTGAAGAGAGTAGGATGGTTTGTTCTTGTACATCTATTATTAATTAAATTAAAGTACTTCAAAATAAACAACAAATACAGCTAACAACATTTAGCCAAAACAAGTTCAAGAATTCAAACAAATTTTGAAACTTTTGAAATCCGGCTCAATTCGTGCCGTTCGTGTCAAGACCAACGGTGAAAACACTAAGTTCAAGGTTAGATGTGCCAAATACCTTTACACTTATATCTGTGCCGATAAAGCTAAAGCTGAAGAACTCAAGAAAGCTATTCCAAAGGATATTCATGTCGTTGAAATTGCTAAGAAGGCTCCAAAGGCTGAATAAATTAATATTTTAAGCTTTAGAATTATAGTTTATAGTTTTGTATTTTTAAACTTATTTTCAAAAAAAATAAAAATGTTTTTTGAGCCTTAATAATTTAATAAAAAAGAAGTTAAATAAGTATTAATAAAAATTGTTTCTTGTTCAAGAGAGATTAATCTTATTCCTTCTTCTTTTCCTAGCAACTCTACGGAGTAAGTTTTTATTATAGTAGAAGCAATGTTCCATGACATCTTTCACATTTGTAACTTTAACGCTCGATTTCTTTTATATCGTTAATTTCAATTTTTAATTCTTTTATTAATTTTATATTTTCTGCATTCACACTCATTGATTGAAATTATTATAGGTTTGTTTTATCAATTTTATTGTACTTTCTATTTCTTATATTTATTTACTTTTATTTCTTTTATTTAAATATATTCTGGTGAATATAGAAGTATAGATAGGCTAGAGAAGTAGTCTCAGTTGAGAGTAAAGGATGGGATGTAGTTTTACCTGAACAACAAGTAGAAGGTTTGTGTCTTGAAACCTAATTAATTTAATTATTTATTATTCTTTTATTCAGATATCTCATATATTTAACCAATTAACACAAAATCAATTATTTCATTTATTATTCTATTTCTTTGTTTTTTTTGTGTTTTTATTGTTTGTTTATTATTTCTTGTTTATTTATATTTATTTCTTCTAATTCATTTTTCTTTATTTTTTATTCTTGTGTATTTTTTTTCATTTTCATATTTATTGTTGATATTATCATTATATTGTTGTGTATTATTTGTCTTTTTTGTCCTTTTCATTTTTATTTTATTTTATTGTTATTTAGTGTTTGATTTGATTTATCTCTTTATTTGTTCTCTTCTTATCACAATTATCTCATTGATTTTAGATGGTATCATGATTGTCTCTTATTTCTTTATCATTTCTACTTTATCATTCTTTTATTTTTATCATTAATTTATCATCATTTATTACCATTTTCATTAATTGATTGGAATTAGATAATTCTTTTTATTTATGTTTTCATTTTTATTTTCTATTTGTTCATTGTGTTTTGTCATCATTTCTGAGAGATATTTTGTTCATATTCTTTATTATTCTTTATTATCTTATTCTAATTTTTTTTTGGTTTTATTATATTGTTTATGAATTTCTTCTTCATTACCTTCTTTTTCTTTTTTTTTATTTCTTTCATATTATTTCATTTTATTGTTTAGATCATTATTTTTATTT